AACGTATCCGGAGGATTTTCCAAGTTAGCCAAAAAGTGTAGACGGGCATGATTTCTTTTGAACTCCACGCTGTAATCAATCATGTTTCAGTGAGCTGGGATATGGTCTTCTACTTCCATGCCGCTCTCTGTGGGCTGTTCACAATCTTGTGGGCGCTGTACTACAGGTACGGAAAGTTGCCTTCTTATTTCTGCAGTGGTCCTAATCGCTAGTGTACTGTTTTACTTCAGAGACAAGCAGACTAAACATCCATTTGTTGCGAAACAGGAGTCGCGGAAAATTAGTTATGGAAAACAGCGCCCAACTGGAAAAATGGAGGTTCGTTCTGTTTTCAGTTACTTGATCGTCGTACGTTCTCTCGTTTTCTGAACATCATCTAATCTTACGTCGTGAAGTACAATTTAAAGTGACTGAACTCATTTGTTTCTGAAAAATCTTGACCGATCCTAGGACAAGAGGTTGCTCGATCCGATAGCGTTCTCTCCCATACTCATCAGGAACCGAAGAATTTGACTCCTCCCTTGAATGTAAAGTGCGGGAGCAAAATAGGAATAATAATAATATAGAAAACCGCTCCTAATCGCGAGGATATCAGAGGCGCATGTAACATTTGTGATCAGGGCGCTGAAAACCATATTACACAGTTGAATATCGATTTTGGAGGAAAAGAAGGTGGCGACAGTTCAGCGGAGGCACCATTCTGGCCGAGTCTACTTCTCAAGGGGCAGACAGAGGTAGGTGAATGGACAGGAAGACTACAATACACCAACTATTTTCTTGTCTGTCTCGTCTCGCGTGGGTACAAAACCGTCCACTGGCCACTTTTCTAAGAGAGGGCGAAGCATGGCGGCGTTGCCGCGCTACATCGTGGTCACCCTCGGGTACTTTCATTTCTCCATCTTGCGCAGATGTAGGCTGGAACTTGTCTTCACACACCGCCTAACTTGCGATTGGTACTCGTTTCGGCTCCATTGCCTGTGACACCCCAGAGGTGTCGCATGGGCGGCGCCAGACCCTCCTCATTGGCTCGTCGCTTCTCTTGGACGTCTTATAACAGAGTGGCGCACCGGGTGAGGTAGGGACAATGGACGAGTATGAAATACATCTTTTATGCCTGGGCAAGAAAGAACTTCAAACTAATTATAGACTTTCAGACTCCACTGCAAACGAATATTCCGTTCGATGGTGATCTGGGCTATCTGGATCGCTGTGATTGGAAATTTTCTCGTTTCCCAATTCACTATCTCCTATTCGCCGCTGTATCTGTCGTCATGCTTTCGATATGCCCACGACTATCGCCGGAGTTGCTCCCAAATTGCTTGCATGGGCGCTCAGTGTGAGCATGTTTGCATATCGCTCGTAGATCAGATTGAGTGGTTCTCGCGGCTTCCAGAAAAACGCTTCCAAAGTATTTTTCAGTTGGTTATAAAACTGTTTACTGGTCTCGCCTCAGACCGCCTCACGTGCCTGCCAGAGGTGGGCAAGCTGCGCCTCTTCAATTCCATTGCACTTCTTGGCTCCGGGCTTTTCTTTATTCTGTTGGCAGTGGTTTCACCAGCTGGCGGGGCTATTGATGTGGTTCTTATCAGTGGGTTTTCCTCGTTCTATACTTTCGAGCTTTTCTTTCCTTTATGACATTCATTACAGTAATCCCGATTGCTCTGCTTGGCTTCACTTCTGGCGGTTATCCAAAATGTGTGGTGATAGTATCCCAGCAACATACTCCGTTTGTAATGTCTATCGTGCAGGTATGTCACGTCTCAGGCCCGATTGACCAGACAGTTTAATATAATGCAATAATTTCTAACGGCAATTAAGGGGATAAGGATAAAGTCTTCGTTGTTGATCAATCTCCTTCAAGGGATGCGGCACGCATTCTACTTCCATTCAGAATCGTAGTGGCTTATTGAATGCGATGTGGCCTATACAATGACTTGCGGGCCAGCCGATGTACAAGTCAGTGTTCTTATCCTCCCAGACAAATCTGTACCAACTTACCGTTACGGGGGGGAGGGGGTAGAAGGCTTTGCTGGCCTGGGCGGGAGCTGGTCCAGGATTTGATGCCCGGGCCGTGCGCGTGGTAAGCGTGCCACTACACTACCTCCGCCTCAATGGCATTTGTGAAAAACAAAAAGGGAACAAATGAACTAATTTACCTCTCTTCCGGCAGCCGGAACGTTCGGAATGGGACTCCATGACAGATTCCGCATCACCTCAGAGATGGTTTTTTCAGCCATGAGCAGGTCCAAAGCCACTTCTGCCGCTTTGAGTTGCGTTACAAAGGCGCCAGGGCTTTTTTATGTGCGCGAAACTCCCCCACTGTCCCGCAGCCCCATCCACTACATCCTCGACAACACGTTAGCATCTTGGACTAAAAATGCGTCAAAACTAAGCTGGAATGCACGAAGGCTGCGGCTGTGGCAATTCAATGCATAAAGCCGGAAATTTTAAGGAACGAACGAAGTCGAGTAGAAGAATACATTGGGTGCACAAAATGGAAGGAACCATCTATGCCATC